ATCTAACCGTTAAGATTAAAAGATTCAAAACAAAAATAGTTTATGAAATGCATAAAACACTCTTATAATATGCTTACAGTGCGTATCACACCCATCATGTACTAAATGACCATTTTTTCTATTTAATAAAATGATGTATTTTTAAATAATATGTAAAATGTGGAGGGGACTCTTTGCATGTTGTCTCGGGATTTAATCTTTGTCTCGGATACCTTCACAAAAAAATAATTAAATAATAATAATAATAATAAATTTTATGAAATCTAATATTCCCTCCGTCCCAAAAATAAATATAATTTTTTTGATAATTTAACTTTTTAAGAGAATAATTTTTATTATATTAGTAGTGAATGAATTATCAAATTTACCTCTCAAGTTTGCACTAATGTGATGGTTTACTTTTTATTGGTTCAATATACGAAGGTTAAATTAATAATACAAAAATAATAATAATAATAATACATTAACTTTTTAAATAAAATACTTACTTTGAGATGAATAAAAATGAAAAATGTAGATACTTATCTTTTATGAAATTTACTATATAAGTTGGTATTTGGATTCCCTTTCAAATTTAATGTTAGCCTATTCCAGATTTCATTCATTCCAAATAACAGAGACCAGATCACATCTTAAAACCAAATCCTGTCATTCCAAATACATAACCTGTTTAACAAGGGTTAAATATTGTCAGGTTTGGATTTATGGCTCTCACATTAAACCTCAGCCAGATTACTCTCCATTGTTTTATGTACATTTTTACTCTGAATTTGTTGAACATTGATACCCTCACATATTATATCAATTCACTCACGTGTCCACATTCAATTGGTTGCTGAGCTTATTTTTTTTTTTTATTTCACCTTATTATTATTATTATTATTAGTATATTATTTTTTGGTTCTAACCTCTCTGCAACACAAACTCTCCCCAACACAACCGTCACCATCGTCGGCGATGGATTCAATGGTGGAGAAGATGCGTCAACGTCTAGAGTTGGATAAGAAGATGCCACGTCCAGACGACCACCAACCACCAACCACCAATCACCCCCACCCTATATATATATATATTTTTTTTTTTCTTTTTCTTTTTCTTTTTCTTTTCACATATATGTATATATATATATCACCACCAATTAATCACCCCCACCACATATATAACACCACCGTCACATCTATCACACCTCAACCCCACAACCACAACCATCACCCCATCATCATCATCATAAAACCTAGATTTTCAATTTATCAACAAAAAAAAAATGCAAACCAATATTTTTTTCCCCAATTTCAGAAAATGGTGATGCCGGCGATCAGGTGCCTTTTCCGGTGATCTTCAACAGGTGTTGGAGCCTTCTCTGCAGACCTCGCTCTACGAATTGTTGCTTCTTCCTTCTCTTTGGCTTCCATCTCCATGCCCATGAATTAAGCAACGAAACCTATTCTCGCACTACCAAACGAAAAGCCTCTCTCGTTATTCGTTATTGTAAGGGTCGACCCCAAAAACTAAACTCTAAAGCGAAGCCCTTTCTAGGGCTACCCCCATGGCAGTCACTGCCCATTCCCATATTAGGTCACGTAGCAACTAGATTTTATTTTATTATTATTATTTTTTTGTTTTGGTTTTGGTTTTGATTTTGGCAACGGACAATTAAATTAATAAAGGGTAATATTATTATTTCATATTCCACCTGCACATGTTATTGCTGACATAAGCATGAGAGTTAATAAAGTCAAAGGATATAATAGTAAAAACACTTTTTTCACACATTTTGTAGGGGCCTAAGAGCAAAAATGCCTGAGGTTTAATATAAGAGTAATAAGTTAGTCCAAACCTAAGGGGGGGGGGGGGGGGGTTGTGAAAGCATTTAACTGAAAAAAGAACACTAGTAATCTAGTAAGCTTTAAATATTTCAAATCATTAAGTAATAATATTTTAAGATTTTTTTTTAATTTCCTCTCTATCCATAATTCGTTGTATCGGCCAGTCCGTAATTCTTTTTCAAGGGTCTAACCTCTATGAACCGATCGATTTGACCAATTTATATTTATATTCGTCTAAATTCGTTACACCACAATCATAAATAATACCACAACTGCAAACCATATCTTTACATATCCTGAGCTCCCGACTGAGGCTTAGCCTTACAATACACAAACCAAATGCATCCCAAGCCAAACAGTCCAAAAAGTACCGATTACCATTTTACAATTTATTAAGTAAAAGAAAACAAATATTTTTTCAAGACAGGAATGTAGTGAAAGAAGTAACCAAAATATTGCAGGAAACAATTTATATAATATTTCACCTATACATGTATATATATTCATTCAATAGATTGGAATGTAGCTCCTCTTCTTTGTTACTGTAGTTCTTTGTGTTGGATGTCACCTCTGTATATCAAGATAGATAGACATTAACTAATTAGATCTTCTAGATGCCAAACACAGGGGCCATGGCCCATGTAGAATAGATAGAATCTCCTGTTTTTAAGTTGTAGCTATACTTCCTCTCCAATTATTTCTCTTTTCAAAAATCTCCAATTTATCATTTAGTTATTAATTAACATGTCTCATCACCATTTCTATTTAGATTTTTTGTCAGTGTATAGATAGTGAATAATACCTGCCTCCACCTTACTTAGAAGAAAGAACTACCATCTGAAGCTAAACTAACATGATATGATATGATTGGATGATATTAATTTAATCATTTGATATCACGACGCATCAATTATAATAGCACCGTATTATATAATACTGAATTAGGGACAGCTCAATTTAATTTGAGGCCTTAGATGAAAAACAAAAAAGTTATTGTTCACTATTATATAATCTTTTAATTCTTTTATATATATGGTTTGGTTGTTCATTCATTGAATTTTCTCCTAAACCTTTTTTTTTTTTTTGGTGGTTATGTTTTAATTATTAGTTATAATAATTTTATCAATAACTTTTTTTAGGAATTGAATTAGTTTATTTATTCCTCTCTTCACTTTCTAGTAGACATATTCAATTACATAAATAAAAATTATCACAACTCACATACAAAATAATGTAAAGTATAGAACAACATAATTAGATTTAGAAAAGGCGGGTCCAATACTCCAAAAATTCTTCATATAAATATTCAGATGGAATGAGAAGAAGAAGAAGATTGTGATGAATGAAAAAGAGAAAAGAATTTGTACATGAGAAATAATGAGGGCAAAATGGAAAATAAAAGTTTAAGGGGGAATATGGAAAGTTTTACAATTACCACAACGTGTAAACATATATTCAATAATCGGAGCGCTCTATCAAATTTCAATTTTATAAAGAATTAAAAATTTTAAATAGATTATAATATATGAAAATCAAAATTTTGCACCTTTTTAAATTGAGATAATTATAAAAATGTTTTGGGCTTATTATTAAATTTTTTTAGTGAAAGGAAATAAAAAATTTTAAAAAATTATATTATAAGGAAGAAGTAACAGTTTTGAAGCCTTTTCTGTTAACTGGGGCCTTAAACAACTTCCTAACACGTCCAAAGCTTCGGCAGACGTATTCCAAATAATATAATCATATGTGTGAGTGATAACATGGTCGGCCATTTACGCGATATGTTACCTATCATTTGATTCATAACTTCTTTTTAAGAATTAAATATTATTATATATTCTGATTTTCACCGCTATTCACCTAATTCCGTTACATTGCGCCGAAACTTCTACCATGAGTGATAGGTTCAAAACTGGAAGACAAAATTAAATTGATGAGTTTGAAAGGGCCAAAAAAAAAATACAGTATGCAGAAGGAGCTGACAGGGGGATTGGACTGATCTCACTCAAGTACGTCACATGCCAAATATCGCGGTTGCCAATATTTAACACGTGACGAGAAATGTAAAAGACAGTCTGGTTATATTCCAGTGATGTCGGCCAAACATTATCTTGGACTTTTTATTAGTTAAAGGATGGATTAAGACATTCAATGTATACTCTTCGAATCATCTCTCGGGCATATCATACATGTACATACACACATTACACCTTTCATATTTATCAACCACCGCCGGAACAGCCGGACTCATATGTTTTTAATATTTTATTATTATATATAGCGTGTACATATTACAGATACGTTTATGATAAATTAAATACTCCGTATTAAGATAATTTTTTTAATAAAAGCACTTGTTTTCCAATTGCAAATAAAGTCTCATTTATACTACCGCAACACATGTTAAAGTAACATTTATGATAAATTAAATATTAACATGAAAATTTTATTATAAATAAATTGTTTTCCAATTGCAGCATATTGTTAATTGATACCATGTCTATAAACTTGTCCAAATGTATAAGACTTGTCTACTTATCTACCAGTGAATAGATTGTCTCTAGTGATCGCTGATGTAGTTATTCACAAATCACAAATGCACACATAGTCTATAATTATAAAATTAAAAAAGTGATAAATAAGAAAATTAAAGAGGGTTGAATTTTATTCCAAACAAAGTTATTCTCCTTATTTATAACTTTTTTTAATTTTGTAATTATAGTTTAATTTTTTTATTAGTTATTGAATTAAGTCAGTTGTTAGTAAGAATGATCTACTCATCGGTGAGTACACAAATTCTATCCATCTAATAATTTATATTTTGAATTTCTTATTTGAATGGACCACATGATTTTCCATCACATGGTGTAAGAATATTTAATAATTCTTCATTTTATTCCTTGAGAATTATTAGAGATTTATTTATTTTTATAGACTTTCACAATTCTTGATTGAGGTGGAGGACCAAATATTAATAATGTTTGGTGCATGACCATTTAATAATTTTTTTGGAGTTGGTACTAGCACCTATGAGACACTTGGCCAACATGCACTTACTTGAGCAAACGATGTCGCTCAAGGTGGTTCACTCGAGAGAGCAAATCAAGTTCCCCACGGCGCCGGAATCGGCTCACTTGTAAGTGTTTGTCTATAAATATGTCTCTACTCTCACCCCTTATTCTCAACCACCTCATACTGCACCTCCTACTCTCATCAGCTCTTGGCTTCTTCCTCTTTCTCTCTCTTCTCTCTACACACACTGTCACTACTATCACGCTCTCTCTCTCTCTCTCTCTCCCTGCACGGTCACGACTTTCACGCATCTAAATTCACATGCTCAGTTCCATGTCCATTTCACTTTAGCTACCATATTTCACTCTATCCACATCCACTCGCCTACCGACACGTACCCTCCCCATCTCTCTCTCTCTATCTTTTTATATATATATATATATATATATATATATATATATATATATATCGCCCTTTCTCTGTCTAAAACAATGATGAGTTTACAAAGTTGGCCGGAACCAATTGTCCGAGTCCAATCATTGTCGGACAGTGGCATAAATGCGATTCCCGAGCGATACATCAAAGGAGCCTCTGATAGGCCATCCTTACACCACACTTTCTCGACTGAAGTTAACATCCCAATCATCGATTTCCAAAACTTGTTCTCCAATGAAACCTCGATCCGTGATGAAACGCTCACTCTCATGTCCCGCGCGTGCAGGGCGTGGGGTTTTTTCCAGGTGGTCAACCACGGCATTAGCCACGACCTGATGAAGGGCGCACGTGAGGCGTGGCGTGAGTTCTTCCACCTCCCCGTCAAGGCCAAGCAAGTGTATGCCAACTCCCCGGTCACCTATGAGGGGTACGGTAGCCGTCTCGGTGTCGAGAAGGGGGCCAAGTTGGACTGGAGCGACTACTTTTTTCTGAATTACCTTCCTGCATCCGGGAGGGACAAGAATAAGTGGCCGATATCATGCAGGTAGGGCACGCGCCACCAGTGCGAGTGGCACAAGTATCCTATATTGTTATATAAATACACACATAATAGTAGCAATAGATCCTGTTTAATGATTACGTAAATGTTTATATTCAAGGTCATGACCCGTACACTAATCCACTATTGAATCACTTTGATGGTACGACCTGTAGGGTCCATGTTAGTGTTCATAATTGACCGTACAGGATGTAAGATTTGAATATTCTAGTAGCTAGGCAAGAGGAGTAGGAATCCTCCGTACACTGCATTCAGTCATGGAGGCCGAGCCCGAATTACGGCTACACAACACATTTTTACCACGTTAGATTCCCCCTCCAATCCTCACACATGTGCCCAATCGCGTAAAATATATGCACCAACAGATCCAATACAGCACTTGATTTTTCACACGCTAAATCTGCCTACAATCTTCACACACGTGTGCACAATCACTTTTGTAAAATATATGCACTATCAGATCCAACACAGCACTTGATTTCTCACACGTTAGATCCCCCAAATCCTCACACGTGTGCACAATCACTCTTGGCAAATATATGCACCAACAGACAGATCCAATACAGCACTCGTGTTGCAACGAACCCGAAAACTATTTTATATAGCTAGCAGCATTATTTAAGTACTCTGTGTTACACCGTAAGATTTGAAATTGGAGGGGTGCCATATCTAGATTAGAAAATCCTACTCTTTAAAAAAATAATAATAATAAATAAAAGGACAATATTTAGCTACTTATTAGTGAGTAAGGTGAAACCACTCACATCTATGTGATCCAATAACAAACTAACACATCACCTTTAATAATAAAATAATTTACACATTTTTCTACTTTTTCGGATCAATCATTGAATAAACTTAGGTGTGAATTATTTTATTTTTAAATGTGATGTGTTATTCTATTATTGGACCATATAAGGGATGAGTTTTGGTAAATTAAATTTATGATAAGATTACTCTCTTAATAAAAACACACAATAAACGAGTTAGCAGCATTCACGGGATTATTTGTAGCATAGCAAGACAGTAATAGAATATAATTCAAAGGGAGTGGATATGGAATGTAGTGAGTAATTAAGGAAAAGCATAATAATTGGGACAAAACATTTGGTTTTTATTACCAATAATAGAAAGAATATGATACCTCAATCTGCAACCCACATTTTTTTTTATTCCAAATACTTGCAGGAATGGTACACACGTGCTCTATACTACCTACATAGCTAGTGAGTTGGTCAAGCCAATAGAAAATTTCAAAATTTACTCTAACTTGTTTTTATTCCAAATGGTTTGACAGTGACCCAAACAAAAACCAAAATGCCCTACCAACCGTAAGGTACATTATGCTTTAGAGTATATATTCCTGCAGTGCATTGAGATGCTGTCCTGCACCATGCATGGAATACAAGTGCATTGAAGAAAATTTTTATTTATTTATTTATTTTTTTTTGCGTCCAAGAAAAGGAAAAAGTAATTTTTTTATTTTTTTTTTATTTTTTATGCGACTAAGCTGAAATAGGTTTAAGTTTATTTTCTTTTAAAAATTTATGAATACTATACGTATATAATTTTTCTCATTATTTTATACAAAGTAATAGATAATAGACCTATCCTGTATATAAGTTGTATATAAGTGACTTTTAGCCATGAGAATTGAACATGTCATTTTCATGCAACGCGTGTGAACCAAGTGGGTTGTTGACCTGTTTAATTACTGTTTGCAGGAAGCTGGTTAATGAATATGGTGATGAATTGGGTAAACTGTGTGGAAAGTTGATGAAGGTTTTTGCAGTAAACCTTGGGTTAGGTGAGGATTGCCTACAGAAAGCTGTTGGAGGAGAGGAAGCTGCTGCTTCCATGAGGGTAAATTTCTACCCAAAGTGTCCACAACCAGACCTCACGCTTGGTCTCTCCTCACACTCCGACCCCGGCGTTATTACCCTTCTCCTCCCTGATGAAAATGTCCGTGGCCTCCAAGTCCGTAGAGGCGATGCTTGGCTCACTGTTAAGCCTGTTCCCAATGCTTTCATTGTCAACATCGGTGATCAAATGCAGGTCAGCCTTTCTCTTATGTTAATGGCTAGGGTCCGCTTAGTTCAGCTTTTATTTTTTGAAAACCGAAAATCAGGAACATGTACAAAAGAACAACGCATATATTTAAGTTTTCAGTAGCTCTCCATTCTAAAAGCAACTAGATTGAGTAAACTCCAAGGGAATGGCCAAGTGCCTCATGAAGAATCAAACTCATGATCGATTCTTCATAAGTGCAAATAATTCTTTGGAGTATTACCCGATCCGTATGAGGTAGCCTGTACCGGTCCTGTGGATTAGTGAAAAAAAACACTAGATTGAGCAATGTGTAACATTTTGTTTTGTATATAGGTGCTAACCAATGCAATCTACAAGAGCGTGGAGCACAGGGTGATAGTGAATTCAATGAAAGAGCGAGTTTCGATTGCCTTCTTCTACAATCCAAAGGGCGACAAAGTCATTGAACCAGTAAAGGAGCTTGTGACAGAGGACCGGCCTGCAATGTATCAGCCGATGACATTTAACGAGTACAGAATGGTCATTAGGACAAAAGGTCCTTGTGGGAAGTCACAGGTTGAAGCACTTAAATCCTCGTGATCATGAATGTGTTGCTTAATGTATTACAAAATAAAAATATAACAGTGAGAACTGGATCTTCGTCTTCGTAATTAATCTTTGTTTTGCTAATGAAGTTGTAATGCCGTTATTCATCCTCTAAGATTGTAAAGACTACCCAGTTTGTGAAATTTAAAGTACTTCAATTCTATTTTCTATTGTCGGGCTAGCTGTTAGGTGAACAGAGACATGAGTTTGACTAACCTTGTTTTTAAGATCAAGTCATGTGATAAGCAAGCTTGATCACATTTTAAAACTCATAAGTTTGTTTAACTACTAGCTCAGATCATACTCAGCTAGTTTAGTTAACAAGTACACTAAATGAGACATGAGTTTGGCTAAAAAGATTGAATGCTTAAAGTAAGAAGGCAAACATGGTTGCAAAGAAATCTAATATATTATTAATTAATGAATACATTGCTTTGCAATGCCTGCAGAAATGCTAACTATATAAGGAAACCTACAAACAAGTACGAATTCGAAAAATTAAGCTATGAAACCTAATCACTAAATATCTTTATCTAAAAAAAAAAATTACTAATCACTAAATATTAAAAATATGAAGAAAATGATAAATTCAGTGCATAAGACTTCCATTATTGCGCGATCTCGGGAGGATTAGACGTATGCCGCCTTACATTCACATGCAGAGAGGCTATTTTCTTATTTCAAACATGTGACCTCCAAGTCAATCATAATAGAGCAATCTTACCGTTGTGTCAAGACTCACCAATTCGACCACTTACAAAAATTTTGAAAGATTTAACAATTTTCCTATAATACTGAAAAACATGATCGATTTAGGGTCATAAAAGATGAAATATATCAAAAAAATGACTTGTGTTAAAAGCAAAACTAGCAATCAAGTAATGATTATTGGTCTCTTTACGATCGAGAATGAATTTCTTCAAGTCAAAATTATCTTATAAAATGTGTCAATTCGCCCATTTGACCTTTCCGCGATTCAAACAGTCCTATAATAAATCTAGAATCCATTCTATATCACCTACCTAATTACCCATATATTTAAAAAATAGATTGAAACCTTCTTGTGACATAATTAAACAAGTCAAACTCAATAGTATTAGTTTAGAACTCATTCATTTTAAGCTAAAGTACTTGCACCACTCATTATTCGGCTTCACTCGGTTTATATAGAAACTTTGATAAAATTTAGTAAAATTTTATAAAAGTTTTAGATAAAAATTCGAACACAAGGGAAGTTGTGTGCTTGGCATGCAATTAATGAGTGGTCCCTGTTTTGGCCTCCATTTTAGTTGACAACTTTACATATGTATCGAAACTACATAGTTTTAATGCACCGTGGTCCCTGTGTTGGCCTCCATGTCTTTGCATCAAAACCAGCCGATCCCCTTGTGTGGACAGGAGAAGATCCGGATTCATAAATAAATATACAAAAACTAGTTCACATCCCTAAGTTTCAAATATCTTTAGCTTTGAAATTGGTAAATAATTGATGGAGATGTTCACATTTTAAACATGCATGGTAGATATTAAAGGCCGTAAGATATTTGCCACCCACAAAAGTTGGTCATAGCTGACTGCTCTTTCCGAGCAATATACATTCCTCCAATGGGTAATATTCTAGAGAGAGTTTGCTTTTTTAGTGTGGTCCATTGATATATAGGCAATAGAAATATCAACTACGTCTGTTGCTGTCGACATCGATGCATGCTCAACTCCTCCTTATCCAATGTTATTCCAATTAATTAGTTGTTTTTTTCGGGTATTTGGTGGCCGGGTAAAGTTTTGGTTTTTCAAAAATTATTTATATATAAAGGAGGGTCGAATTTTAAACTTGATGTCTTATAAGACACCATATTTGAGTGACTTATCACTATAGCCAATGACTTAAGATGTTCTGTATAAGATTGTGAGTGAAAAACGGTTTAATATTTGAAATTAAACATTTGTAGGTTGAAAGGAGAAAAAAGTTTGTTGTTCAAAATAACTTTTACATAAAAAGTATATTGTAAGGTAGTGCATTCAACATTGAAGGCAACCTTGTTCACAAGCAAAGTTGGTCCGAACTCCTTTTGGATTCAATCATGTCATAAACGTGACACTAGTACTTCAAGTACAGCCCACATTATGAGAAAATTAATGTAAGAAAATTGACTAATTTTAAGTATTCGCAACAAAAATCAATGATGACTTAGAATGACATGAATCACACCGTACCAAATATTAAAAGGGAAATCAAGACCAAAATTAATATGGTTAAATTAGTAGAAAAAGATGTCACTGTGAGCTTAACAAATCTCCATCAAATAGGATTTAATAAAACATGTTCGCGCAGGGGACCTAAATAATTGGGACTCTTAAATTTAGGGGAGGCAATTTTCTCTGCTTGTCCTTAATGGGACAAATTTGATTAGACCCTAAATGAAGTAAGGATAGATATGGTAATAAAAATTAAAACTCGTCTCGGGTTTAGAGTGGGAAAGAATTTAGTGTTTAACCCGCCGCGCCTAGAATCTAATTATATATATATAAACCTATCAAAATATATATATATATATATATATATATATATATATATATATATATATATTTCATTTTCATGTTAGAAGTGTTTATTTGTTTGTTGTTTTATATTTTTGCATATCTCGGTGAGGTATTTTATTTTCAGTTGCAAATTTCACTTTTGATTTTATTAATAAGCCACTCACCTATATTTATTTACTATAATTTAACTTATTGTACTAAATTAAACGGAGGAAGTGGGGCGTAGTCTCTATCTGCCCCGTTAGTATACGAATTAAAAATCCATCCCAAAATAGGGGCTGAGTTTGTATGGATGATTTTTCACCGGTAGACTTGTCAACGGGTTGCATTTGGATCGGATCTGTCCTCATTTGATCCAAATCCAATAAGCATTTGATTCGATCCGATAATTCAACGAATTTTTTGTAAGTGAATCCATATCCGATTTATTAAAAAATGAAAATCCGATTCAATCCGATCCAATAAAAGTGTAAAAAAAAAAATACATATAAAAAGAAAGAAAAGAAAAAAAATTCATGTCAAAAGAGAAGAAAAAACAATGATCACCAACGGGTCAGTAGCCCAGTGGTATCAGCCTCTTAACTTCCAAAGGGAGGTCAGCAATAGATAAAATATGGAAGGAAAAGAAAAAAGAAAAAGAAAAAGATCATTTACTCTTTTGATAATGCATAAATATTTTGACATTATTAATATGTATATTAATAGATTTATTAGTACGTGAGTAAGAACACCACATTAGTGTGTATATAACATTATGATTTTTTTTTTTTGGTTACATATGATATAAATCTAATAGGAGTATAATAATAATAATAATAATAATAATAAAATTGAATCGAATTATTATTGGATCGGATTCGGATCAGAATCCAATCCATTAACAAGTCTACGGACCAAGACAGAATAATGTTTCAATTTTGTTCCAAACCCACCTCGGTACCATCCCTTTGAACTATATATATAACGATGATTCAATCAAATCCCTAGAAATGAGGCAAAGAAAAAAAATATTAAGAAGTCATAGCAAGACAATACTTGATGGTTCAATATAATAAAAAGTATGATTTATTTGTTATTCTCACGTAACATTGGATTTATGGTGTGCTAGGTCATCTAATGAATGTCTAAGGACTTATGTGACATGGTCTTGACTGTTCGTGGTCAAGTGTGCAGGCCCTAGACGTGTGTGACTACCTTCGAGTCTGTGTGAAAAAAATTAATGGATTTGGGGATTTGATTGTATGTCACTTATATTTTTTTAAAAAAATAATAATAAATTAAAAAAAAAAAAAACTTCCTGGCAAGTAACATCCACCGCTCTTGATTTAAATATATATATTTATATATATATATAATTAATGATAATGATTTTATCATACAAATTTTCAAAACATAAATAATGTTTAGAACAATTACAATTGTTCTTACAATCTCTTCGAAGGGCGATAAGAGCTTACAATATCCAAAGGCCAGGGCTCATTTCCGATTTTCTAAAGTATAGTTGTAACAAGGGTCATTTTGTCCCACATCGGAATCGGATAGGAAAGAGATTGGGTATAAATGGGTGGGTATGCAGCCTTACCTAACAGTTTGAGCTTTTGGGTAAATGGATAAGCGTCCACCCGTTACAGTTGGTATCAGAGCCAAACCCAGTCCTTGATTCGGTGCCACGCCAAGCGCCCGGCCCGGAAGGCTTCCGGGTGAGTCCACCCAGGTAGGCAGGGTGGCCCAACCGCAACGAGGGCGTTGCGAGTTTGGGTGGGGGAGAATGTAATAAGGGTCATTTTGTCCCACATTAGAATCGGATAGGAAAAAGATTGGGTATGCAGCCTTACCTAATAGTTCGAACTTTTGGGTAAATGGACAATTACAATAGTTCAATAGGACACAAGACAATAGTCCAATAGGACACAAGAGTGACACGTTTTTTTATTTTTCGATAGGTTAAATTTTTGTTTCTGTTTTTTTCTCAATAAGTGAGTCACGTTTTCTTACTGGTCTAATCTCCAATAAATTATTATTTATATTTATTTATTTATTTGGGATTTCACCATCTCTGAGTGCCGAGTCTGCCGACACAAGCCAAAAAAACTTTTTTATTTGTTTTTTTAGGATGTCTCGGATATTATGGCAATTAATTGCCATATTGCCTGATCCAAGACGACTTAACCAGTCACATGTTCACCACAACTTGAATGTATATATAATGTGTTACCTTGTGCATGCATTACTCTATTCCAATTTTCTTTTCTTTTCTTTTTTTTTCTTTTTTTTTTTTATTTTTCCTCATATGGTAAGATGAAAGAAAATCAAATAGAAGGAAGAGAAAAAAGATGAATATTTTTTTTGGTTAGATGGAAGAAAAATTTTGTAATTAAAAAATATTTAAAATAACATTGTCTTTTTTGTATCTTCCGTCCATATTTATGTTGTGTTTGGTAAGAAAAAATGAAGATGTGTGGAGAGAAAATAGAAAAAAATGAACGAACTTGTTTTGCTACGTAAATATGATACAAGGAAAGAAAGAATTAAAGGAATAATATCCACCTTTACAAATTTTCATTAGTCCAAAAATGGGCTGAAGAAAGAAGAGTGTTGAAAATTTATTGTGAAGTATCTTCAATAATAGGAAATATCAATAATGGAGAATTTTCCTCTGATTCCTCCAATAACAATTGTAACCGTAAATCTTCAATAGAGGGAAAACAATTGAACTATTATAGAAATTTTAAATTAAATAATATTATAAATTATATAAGTTTTAAATTGCAGTACAATTTTAACTAACATAATAAATTATGGGCTTATTATATTTTTTTCTATCCGACCGAACAAAAAGAAGAAAAGACACAATATCTTCCTTAGGGGTGTCTTTGTGAAGGATGAAAGAGTGTCTTTGTGAAGGATGAAAGATGACTCGTCATCTTCATTCCTTGTATGCTCTCTACCAAACGAAAGAAATTTATTTCTCCTATTTTTTATCTTCCTTCCTTTCTATCAAAAGATACATAAATGATTAAAAAAAGAGAGTAGATAATTAAGCAGGATGCGAAGTAGCAAACAAATCCATATCGAATACAGTATTATACAGCACAGTTGGTCTTTATTTGTAGTACAATCTGACCAACAAATCTTCAATTAACACCCAATACATTATCACTCTCAATGTTCAATAAACAATGTCATAGAGCATTGGAACTTTTATTTTTACTTTTTATCAGAATATTAATTATAAGAATCATATAAAGCTGGAATTAGAGGCGATTGGCAGGCTGTGACACTCCAAGGAAAGCTCATTTCGTGGGATGGATATGAAATTTTCCCACCTCTATCAAGAATCATGTTTTGATTTGTAGTATAAGATTCAGAACTCCTCGGTGATGGAAATTTATATCTCGGCTGCCAAACATCATCCTCCACTACTCTAAGCCTCTTTTGAGCTCGAAATTCTTCATCCATCCTTATTTCAGCTCTGTCGAATTCTGAATCGGATTCAAATTCCTTCATGATTGATTCTGATTCATCACAAAGTGAAGGTAGTGATGTAGGAGAGAACGGCTTGCTAGGCTTTGCAACCTTTGAACGGTTTTTGTACTCCTCCGCGATCCTCTCTAAATACCTTCCTTGTGCTTCAATTTTAAGCTTCAAGCTCTTTTGAACCTTTAAACAAGAAAAAACAATGGATTGTTAATTCAACAGGTATGATTTCTCATCGCTCAAAGGAAAGATGAGGGGTTTGAGCTCCATAATGAGCATTTATCAGTGTGTGGGAGTATTTTTATCTATCTAAAGATTAAAAAAAGAAACTGCAATGGTCCATAACAGGGTTGAAAATTCTTTAAGTATGGGTTTTAGATGATGTAAAATGGTACCTCGAGTTGGTCACTCATTCGCCTTTGTGCGTCTATTTGCGTTTGTAACGCTTCCTTAAGTTGAGCGCCGCTACAAAGATTATATGATCACAGTGAATAAAATGAGCTAAAATTTAATTTACATTTTGAGTACTCAAAAAAAAAAAAAAAAAAAAAAAAAGGGGATTTTTACAAGAAATCTCGGAATATATAAAGGTATAAGCATGAACTCACGATGTTGTGCTGAAGTTGGGCAGTAGCTCTGAAATGCTTCTCCTCTCAAACTTGCCTCCTGCACAATTATTATATTTAAATTAACATAGAATCAATTAAAGACCGGAGAGAAATTGTTAAAATTAACTTTCAAAAAATTAAAATAAAAAAAAAAATTGTCAAAATTTAAAGAGCTCTTACTACTGGATGATTCTGGAATGAATTTTGAGATCCTGTACTTCTGAAAAAACAAAAAACAACCACCCATAACCAAATCAACAAATTTTCATAGCTTTAAAGCTAATATACATACATACATAATTAGGAAAAAAAAAATACATACATATATACATAGATATTATGGAGGACCTCAATTTCTTTCAAATTAATACACCAAGGAGCCTAGTGATGCAAAACATGCTACAAAACATAGGTATAAATATGCATCACATAATTAGGTATAAATTGTCTACTTATTCAAATAAACCTATTTTTCTCAATATATATATATATATATGTTGTTATTATTAGAGAGAGAACCTGTAAGTGGCTCTTGACATGATAGATTGTTAGTCCCGGAATGCTCATAGTCTTCAAGATACCTTTAGGCGTTGCTCCTGCAAAGTAGATATATAATCAACATAATTAAGAAAGATCACTAAAATTGTCGCCCAACTCATACAAATTTGAATATATGAAATTAGTTTATTAAAATCATGAAGAACTCATACATACCCATCCATGCTTTACATGCATAAGAGATTGAACATCATAAAATAATCGAGTTGGATGATTGTGAACTTACTGTCAGGACCTCCAAGCTGATTAACAGCCTTCTCAAACATATCGTGCAACTCTTGCGTCCAACGCAACCGCTCTTTTCCAGATCCATCAGAACGACTCGAGCCCATGTCGGACGTCTGAGCAACCCTCCTGGGCAATGCACCAGTTGGGAGGGTCGTAGAAATAGGTTGGAACAACCATATGAATATAGCCGTTACTTGACAAAACTAATAATCATACTGGCGATGGTCACTAAGTTGAAGATGCCATCAAGTGTCTGACTTTCGGAATAAACCAAGCGAAAACAGAGCCCCAAACTTCTCAAACTCATACATCTTTCTATACATCAAATCATTTGGCGAATAAATCTAAGATTATGATACAAACAGGATACAATAAGACTGCCCAACTGGCGCCAAAAACAAACACAGCCATATTGAGATGACCTGTTTTAGACTATAGCTAAAACCAGTTTTCTTACTTGGAACACTCTCAATGTGAACAACTGCACCAGGTAATCACGTATATGACATACAGGATCCAACAATAGTGAGTCTATCATCATCTTTGTCTTAATCCTTTGTGAAAATAGTCGGTCACCTAAGACCACTTGAGCAGTGACCACATTTGCCTGCAGACCAACTTACATAAATAAAACTACTACTACTTAGCAGCCATACCTTGTATATATTTCAATTTAAACACCTTTTAAATATATATATATATATTTTTTAGGAACAACGGCTAATGTTACAACAATATAATAAATTTGAATTCTCTGAAAGTAGTAGTAATCTGCATCAAGAAGTTACTGTAACAGGAACAATACCCTGTTTTCAGAACTAAAACACCTCTTGCTAGGCAACCAAGAACATGTTCATTCATCCCACGAGTAAGCCCGACCTTTAGAATCAATCACATTCCATGCAGAGAGAGGTGCTCTGCTATGTCTTGGAATTAATCATGCAATCTCTTTTATATCACTTTCATATTATATATGTATGTATATATTTTGAAGTTCAATTGTTTGGTTACTCTGCAAGTTGATCGCTCGATGATCAACGTGTTACTTAATATTGCAAAAAGTGTTGCCGACACCAACATGGGGAAGTGTATAGTAATTCACATATTTCAAACTTAACCACTAATAAGATGGTCATTTGTCACCACTGGCCCCAAAAATGAGCTCAACTTTTAGAATAGAATGATATTTTGAGATATCGCAATGCCATCCAAACAGAGAAAATATCACTTTTCATATAATAAGATATAGAAACAGTAGATGAACATGGGAAATAATGTTTATAACCTAAACAACTTCTCTAATGAAATTTCCAAATTTAGCAACGCCTGAATTTCCTTTTTACAACAAAACCAAGCAAATAAAATAAATGCAAGCTTACAGGAGTTTGGTAGAGTTCTACCATTAGTGTTCATGAAGAAGTCAACAATCGTTTAATACCCGATTTCTGCTCTGAAGTAAGCCTGGTGGGGAACTTGATATTGAACTTAATTCTCAAGTTCCCTCTTTTTGAAGGTTCTTTGGTGATAGGCATCCCCTCCCCTTTAACAACTTCTTCATATGTGGGACTAATGATAGAGTTTATTGGAATTGTCAGATTCCGTCCATCAAGGGTTGTCACCTGTGCAGTGTAACCTGTCAGAGCTTCCACCAGAGAGATCTTCTGTGTGACGATGAGGTCATTCCCGTCCCTCTTGAAGACACTGTGAGGCTTCTCATCAATAATGAAGATAAGGTCTGAGGGGATGACACCTCGCTGTTCATTTCCCTTCTCTGGAAATGTTATTTTTGTTCCCTTCTTCCAACCTGGCTTGATCTCAATTGTAAGAATTTCCTCCGCTGTGGTGGGTCTCCTGCACAGCAAAATAAATATTAGAAAGCAAAAGGTGATAAAGCACAAACAATTATAACTTTGTTCTAAACTATATCTACATTGCACACCAGGAATCTGTCGGTCACTCAGAATTTTTTTTTTTTAAATAGTCAACCAACTCAGAGTCACACAATAACTAATAAGAGCAAATAACTCTAAGATCCCAACATCTCAGTCTGACTACAGAAAAAGAAAAAAAAAATACTCCGTAATGAAGAGTTAAAGAGCTTATAATAGAAAATTTCGGAAGGAAAAAGGTTGCAGGTTTTCATCGGCACTTATCGTATAAATCGAACCCCATAAGAGTTGGTACACTAAAAATACCTTCCCATGTTCTACAACAGGGAACCAAATTAAATTGTTCACCAATGAAACTCACTAAGAGCCATGGTTTGGTCCAGTGATAAAACCTGGGTTGACAAGCAAGAGAAAGCAGATTCCATGTACGAGAGTAACTGCTTTGTGCTACAAAGTTGGAGGCTAGGTCTGTTCCCAACTTATCTTTCCAGCACCCTGAATTGATGAGACCAACAACTTATAAATATAATGGCCTTTTACCACTGAATCAAGATGCTAAGAAAAATCCAGACAGTACCAGTTTCCATGGATGTATGTACTCATTAATTACATTATTGAAGAGCTTGGTTGTCCAGTAGTTTCAGGCAATTATAAACCAGACAACGCACAAAGAGTAAATGTGCTCATATAGAAAATGACCTTTTGAGTAAGATTTTACTTCCCTTAGTGTTATGACAGCCCAATGTCTTTTGAACGGTGAACTTCTCGCTTCAATATGGGGTTTTTACGAACAAGTTCTAGTTAAGCAACACTTGATGCCATTTACTGAACCCACCACTAGCTCCTGAGGATCCTCTAACAAGGTACAGCAATGAGCTTGTAAGATATGCAAAGAGAGACTGGATCATACAAAGCAAATTATCCAAGTAAGAAGACCACCTATACTGTCACTTCTGCTACATGCTTCATAACACAATTGCTTTGGCATAAAATTGAATCATGATCCAACCAGCTACAGCATTACACAGTTGCACTAACTCATCCGAAGCCGGTTATATTTTCCAAGGAATGGGAGACCACTACTTGTTATAAAGGGGTGCACCGCATCTTAATGAAAATTCAACATTCCATTAGGCCACACATTTCAAGTGCATTTGATTTCCCCAAGGTGATTCCAGATTATGTAATCCAATTCTGCCTCAGATAATGCTCTCTCAAAACTGTAGGAGTGATTGGAAGAATCTCATAAGAAGGGGGAGAGTGGGGAAGGCTTTCTGTTGTCAAAGAACAAAGGTCCATCCTAGGGTTAACAAGATACTTAAATGAGTTTTCAAGGACCACATTTCACCTCAACTATATTCTTAAGAAAAGAGGATAAAAAAGAAAGGCTAGCTAGTTTAATTTAGAAGACATTATCATCAGAACGCGCTTTCTTTTAGACGATTATCCTTCTATCTCAATCTAAAATCTAAAGACCTCACATAGAACCACATGCTATAATGTTCATTTTAATTCAAAATAGGTAAGAAAAAAAAAAAAAAAAAAAGAGTGATTTCCTAAATTTTTTTTTTTTTTTTTTGAAAGTTAAAAAGAAACACACACACCCATACCATCTTTGAAAGTTAAAAAGAAACACACACACCCATACAATCGGAACTAAATATTCAGGGGTATATAAAAAAATAAAATTAAAAAAAAAAAAAAACAAATAAATAAATAAGAAGATGAGTTGCATTGCTGTTCGAGCTATTAAATTACAATCAGATGATCAATAAACTCCAAAAAGGAAAATTACGATGAGTTATTTCAATTTCTTGGCAAGGGTTATTCATAGAATCATAAAAAACCATTTTCATATATGTTAGTATATAATCAAATAAAAAGTAATTAAGTTTGTAATATACTGTTTGCACATATTGTGTTTTAGTCAATCAAAAGAATAAACAATAGCCTATTTTAATTAACATGGTATGAAAATTCATACTCCCTTCGTCCCACAAAAAGTGCCCCTTTTTCAGAACTTAACATTTTAAGAGTGTATTTTTAAAATTTTTTTATTATAGTGGTAGGGAATGAATTTTCAAATATATCCTTCTATGGTGGGTCCACATGAGGTCTTATTTCAAACTTTAAATTCAAGGCAAGGAGGGTAAATTATGAATATTAAAAAAAATGGTACATTGGATTTTGAATTGGGACAGCCAAAAATGGAAAAGCTGGACACTTTTTGTGGACACAGGGAGTAATTCTTATTACCAAAGGTGGAAGATGGATTTTTGTACCCAAACGAGAAGAAGATGTACTTTTTAGCAACTATATACACACACATATATATGGGTAAAGTACAGCCACACCCCCTGAGGTTTAGCAAAAGGACAGACAAATGAAAGTTACTCATTTTTTGGACAATGACACCCCTTCTTATGAAATTCCATCCAAACAAGGCCTTAAGTCATATGAAAAGACAAAATTACCCCCTCAATATTAAATTCAAATATATTACAAAATATCAGATCTTGCAAAATGATGTTATAGCCCCTTATATATAAATACATACATATACACACGTGGAGAAAACGTTGGTGCCTGGTAAAGCCGTGAAATTGGTTGCCGCCGCCGTTGTTAGTGGCGGCTGCAGCGGAGGGTGGTGCCTGGTAAAGCCGTGAAATTGGTTGCCGCCGCCGTTGTTAGTGGCGGCTGCGGCGGAGGGTGGTGCCTGGTAAAGCCGTGAAATTGGTTGCCGCCGCCGTTGTTAGTGGCGGCTGCGGTGGAGGGTGGTTGGAGGTTGAGTTTCTTGGAGGTGGGTTGTTGTTCTTGGAGAGACGATGACGCCGCACACCTCCCACACAACGAAAAGATCCAGTCAGAGAGGGTTGGGAGGTGAATCGAAGAGATCGGGTGTTGAGAGGCGAATCGGAGAGGATTGCGTGACCACCGTATGATGCAACGGTCAGTGCCGGTGGACAAGGACGGAAGAAACGGAGAGAACACCGGCGAAGGTGATTCGGAAGAGAGAAGAACAAGTCACTGGTTATGGTACAGGACTGTTCCGGCAACGGTTCAGAGATGTAGAGGCCATCTGGACCATCCATGGCCTAAGGTCATGGGTCGATGGAGGCAAAAGCGATGGCAAGAGAGCCGGCGGCGAGTTCGGTTTCGGCGAGGTTGCTCTTGGCAGTAGCGAGTAAGGATGTGTGTGGCAGCGGTGAAGAGGTTTGCATGTCCGGCAATGCTAAGCGCCGGTAGGTGCGACTAATGAACGAAAGCAGAGGCTGGTTTAATTGAGGACCTTGGGGTTGCGTGAATAGCGAAGCGGTAGCGCGAGTGATTGAAACTTGGACCGCCGGCGGAGATGAGGCACTGCCGTAAAGTGGTGAAGAACCAAGCTGAGATCCGCTAGCGACGGCTGAAGAATCCAACTAAGATCGCGAACAGTGGGCGATGGAAACTAAAAGATATGGGTTTTGACTTTTTTTTTTTTTTTTTTTTGAACAATCTGAAATTATATGCCGATATAGGTTTTGATATAGGTAATAGAATTTGAACTTCTGATTCTTGTAGATTTTGTAGTTTGCAGTTGCAGAGAGAGAGGGCAAGTTCAGACTTGAGAACGAGAAGGCTGGAGGCAACGGCAGACGCCTTGGTGGTGTTGATGATGCAGAGAGTAGTGGCTGAGAGGCGGCAAAGAGCAGCGGCAGAGAGGCGCAGGGCTTTGGTGATGTTGACGATGTGGATAGCGGCAGAGGAGTGGCAGAGAGCAGCGCCGTCGGTTACGATGTTGTGATGTATGTGGTGTTATGATGAAGCATGGAACAGCGGTGGAGAAAGGACAGCAGTGAAGCTCGGTTGTGAAGAAGCGGTGAATTAGGGATGATGATGGCGGCGGCGGCTGAGGGGTTCGTCCAACGGGGATTATGTAGTGTGTGTATATATACATACATACATACATACATACATACAAAGAGAAAGGGTTTGGGCTTGATCCAAGGGTATTTAAGTCAATAAAAATATCAATTTTATATCAAAGGGTAATAAAGTCAATTCACCATTTTCAGGGTCTCTTTGTCCATTTTTCAAACTTGAAGGGGTGTCATTGTTCAAAAAATGAGTAACTTTCACCTATGTGTCATTTAGCCAAACCTCAGGGGGTGTGATTGTACTTTACCCCATATATATATATTATCTATGGTAGATTTTGAGCCTATATTTTGGAATCTAATTTATCATATTTCTCAAAATATTATTTTTATTTTAAGGGGGTGGGTTTTATTTTAAAAATTATGATTTTTTAAAGTAAAAGTAACTTAGGGGTTAGGATTATGGAAGCAACCACAACATCTCCAATGGTAACATTTCCTAAATATAAAAAGAATAGTTCTAATAGGATAAGGATGGCTCATCCATACTAAATGTAATTACTAGTTCACCATTGATACTTTATAACCTTATGATGACTTGAGGTTTAAGTTTATCAACTTGAGGAGTTTCTCGTGTGTGAAGCCATAAAGTTGGTATGTAGGTATAACGTGGATACAATCAGTACTGATCACAAGATAACACAAACGCACAAGATCCACCCATCCCTTACCTCTCCAATTTCAGGGTGTCCTGTCATCAACCTTACCAATATGCCACAAAGCCCCAGGACTGGTAGAACAGATGAAATAAATCCCCATAACTCTTTAAGGCCGCAAAATACCACCACACTTCTGCAGTTTTGTTCCTCAACAGCACTCACAAGTAGCCCTTGCTTCGGTGACAAATAAAAAAAATTCCCATTGGGCTGGCCCCTCACTCAACTGAGTAGCACTCTCCTACGTAACCTTTTCAATCATGAATGTGAGACTCTAGGTAGCTTCACTTTGGCTCTCGCTCTACACCAAATAGCCCTTTCGATGACTAAAACCTACCGCTTAAAGTCCACTTTGATATCAAATATTACAAACCTGAAAATATAATATGTGTATGGCAGATACCCCATAATTCAAGAAACTGGTAACTCCTCTAACAATTTTGAACAGCAAAATGCTTCACCTCTATATTTGCAGCACGTGCAACTTGATTCTATATGCCAAATCAGGAAGAGAGCATCGGTAAGTGCTGAATAGAAAGTGATCACGAACTGACCCCAAAAAAAATAATAAAGTATAGTGCTTATGATTGTCCACCTCTCAGTATCACTATTCAGATCTTGTCAATTAAAAAAGGCTACTTGGATGGAGAAACATATACCCAAATAAGAGAGGGTGGTTGTCTGATTCAGCAGTTTAACCCTAAAATATCTGTGCCACTGGTGGTAGATTCGAGTCTCAGAACAACCACTTTGTGACAATCCAATACGTAGGTATAACTCCAGTTCTCCCAGATGAGAGATACTAGAAAAAGAAAATACATTTTTCCAATGCCTGCCAGAGACTTAGAATAACTAGTGTTCACAAGTTACTTCTCCAATCATACCTGATATGCCATTAAAGATAAATGACCAGATTTTGGCCTCTCTTATACATTCCCCAAAATTATTTAGTCATCTAGAGTGTACAAAGTCACATCTAACATCATCATAATTGTAATTAGTCATGCAATGGCACATAAAAGTTCCTTCATTGAGTGATCTAAATGAAGGCCAAAAATTTTTAGCATCATGGAATGCTTACGCCCACACCAATTTTCATCCTAAAACCACAAATTTTGTCAATCAGCAACCAAATAGCTCACACCAGTTGCTAAAAATAAACAACCTTGGAATTGTTTATCCTAAGCCTAGAAGGTGCCAAAAACTCCACAAAACTCCCAGACATGGCATAAACCTATAAATTGCAACTTTTTCCCTGGTTAACAATATATGACAATCCTGCTGCTTTCAAACTTTCCAAAAAGAACTTGTTCCACTTAATTCTTTGGCAATTAAGAAACCAAATTTAAAAGGGACCAAACTCTTTCCCTCATGATTCATCTTCTAATGCTAAAACTACCCTATTCTTCTTTCCCAACACTACGAATACTTGAAATGAAGAAAGAAACAAATTTGGAAACAAGCAAAAAAATAAAAATAAAAAAACATGATTCAAAGATATCCTTAGCAGAATATAACGCAAAAACTAAGACTATATTTTCGCCTCCCATTACAGATTGTTGAGTATCAAAAACAAGATGAAATAATAATATTGTACCATGTTTTGCCTTACTTTCTAATAAATTTATCATTCTGTCCAATAACTATGCATCACATGAGCATAAAATCAAACAAATACTTTTCTTAATACTCAAAACATCTAAGCAAAAAGACAACATCCGTAGAATTACATGAATGTGTCACAACATTATGACCCTCTACGATGTGGAGGCTCCCCACATATGCTTGGTCAACTCAAATTACCAACACAATGATCAATCCTAATGTCTTCCCCCCAAATAAATAAATAGAAGTACTTGTATGTGTACTTGTCTCGCTCCACAAAAAATTTGGAAGACATTTCAGTAAATTTCCTCACAAGAAAGACAACATACAATTATTAACTACCATAAATAATAAGATAGATGAAGAACTTTAACAAGCGTGAGGCCAAAACACAAAAACAAACTGCATTCTCGGATGGAGCATTAAATCATTAATTAATATCTTCCTTTATACAACTATGTAGAAAGGTACAAAGGAAGGGAAACATAAAGAGCAGTCAAAACTATAAATGCAAGCCCGCGTAAAAGCCGGCCAACTAATACATATGAATGTGAGAAACGACGAGACAACAAATACGGAATGATTTAAGATCAAACTCTACAGCTGACACATATTTATATTATAGACGCTAAATGATTGTAACTAAATAAAACCCTATAACCTTCAAGTCATGAACGATCATAGATAATAAATGAAACTATATATCTAATCTCAGTTCAATAAAAAGTATTTTGTTGACAAATATGAAATCTGCTGCCCTTTTAACAAGTCCTTAGGAACACAACTACACAGGCGTGTGTATTATATTTAGGAAAATGATATAACGCATCCGACTGTTTTATGAGTGGGGATGCCATCATCATGACGTCTGACGTCATCTCCACTCACATAAATGCAATTGAATGTGTTGTATCACAACTCTTATATTTACCATAAAAAGTCCATGTTGAAGCTTTTGCAAGCAAGTGAAAACATAAAGAGTACATGAACTTTGTTATACATTCTCAGTAAAAATGTGTTCATCCACAATCGTAACTGTAGGGGAAAAGGTAGATGCTTTGCAAGTGTCAAAGATAGAGACTTGACATGCTATGTGTTACAGGTCATTGATAAAACTCATAGCTTTGGCAATATATTAAATCAATAATATAGTTAAAAACAACACCCTATGCATCAATATGTACCAATTAGGAGGGAATTCCACTTGAAACTCATTTCAACCTAATTAAAATCAATTAAGGCAATAGAAACATAAATAGAGAAGATTGAAACTCCAAGAGCATATGAAAACTAAAACTGAAGCTTACCCAGTAGCATCAGTAACATCCCTCGATATCTTCATCTTCTTAGTAGTCCCCTTATACAAATCCTCCAAACTACACGGCAACGTCCTCTCTATAGCTGCCCTTTTCCGGGGAATATTACTGGACGCCTCACCGCCTCCGCCCCGAAGCGTAGCAAATATATCTTCGCCAAACATACCCCTGGCACGTGATCCTCCCATGTCCCCCATCCCACCCATCCCTCCGAATGGGCCCGGAAACCCGAAAAACTCTGAGAATATGTCATCAGCACTCCGAGGATTGAACCTGAACATAGTAGGACCACCGCCATCCGAAGCGCCGGCATAGCCACCGGCACCAGGCGGCGGCACCTGTCCCTTCAACCCCTCTTCACCGTACTGGTCAAAGACCGCTCGCTTTTGTGGATCACTCAAAACCTAGAAAACATACATCATGTCACAATCTGTTAATTGAATTAAAAAAAAAAAATTAATACTAAAATTTAATTAGGGTTTTGGAAATGCATATACATTACGCACATTTATAGTTACAGTATATTATATGCATGCGTCATATGCTTCGGAGATTTGTTGAATTTGTTATTTGCATCAAAAATCAACAAAATTTTACTAAGTGCTTTGAAGATGTATATACGTGTGTATAGATATATATATACATACATCGTATGCTTCGGAGATTTGCTTGAATTTGGCCTCGGCTTCTTTTTTGTTGTTGGGGTTTTTATCTGGGTGCCACTTCATGGCGAGCTTTCGATACGCTTTCTTCAAGTCATCTTCTTTGGCGCTCCGGTCCACCTGAAGAACCTTGTAGTAATCCACACCCATACTTCTCTACTTTCTCTCTCTACTATCTTTCTCCCTGTATCTGAGATTTTTGGCCTTGGCTTTGGTTTGAGGTTTCTGCAATGAACTATGTTTCCTACTGGTAGTGTTGGTGAGAATGTGAGAATCTCTCTTCCAATAAAAGATGGGAATGGGCCTTGATTGTTTTGGAGGCCCATAATTAGATAGAATTTTTGATAGATTTGGGTAGCCCATTAGCTATTTAAGAAAAGTACGGGCCTAATACCTAGGACTGTCCATAAAGAGAAAGAAATCGCAAGACTCCATTTTATAGTACAAAACTGTCAACTCAGGACTATCGCAGCGACAATTGGCTAATTATTGGCATAGTTTGACCAATGTCCTGTGGGTACGGATAGTCCCTACTACTGCGATGTGTAACTCTGTGGTTTGCCCTAACAATATATATATATATATACAGTATTTTTTTTTCAAGTAAGAGAGATCGGTGGAAATTATAAATGGTTGGATCATGTGGGAGGAGAAAATTTTTTATTTTTGCTGGTTGTACTTAGTGAATAGCTCGTTTGAAGTTGTTGTTAGAATAAAAAAAATATTTTTATTAGTAGAGTTGTCAAAAAATTAGAATCAATAAAAATTATGTTAAGTGTTTAAAGGCACATTATAATAAATACATTTTATAATTAATTTATTGTGTAATAATATTTTTAAAATATTTATAAGAAAATAATGACATAATTGATCTCCCTAACAAAAAACTCATATTAAAATTTCAACTCAAACACAATTTTTTTGAATATCCTAAAATCTTTCAAACTGGGGAGGATTCTTTCATAACGTGACTATATATCCTAAAAAGAAAATGATAAGGTCAATGATTTTTCCAAAACACCTGTTGATATTTTATTGACTCACTTCATCGTAAGAAGGAGGTTTCTTTTTATACGGCCTAAGCATTGTTCTTAATTTTTTAGTTGTGACTTTCTTTAACAATTCATTTTTGTTCATCTATTTTTATATAATTTTTGTTTTGAAAGGCATATTATATTTTGGTTTTAACTGACTCACTTTTACTATGCTCCGTGAAGTCGATATTAATGGCTATTTTTATTGCTAATTTTACAATAAGATCATTTAATAGAATATTAACATATTTGATAATAACAGACTTAACAGTTCCTTTAAGGAACGAGTGTCATTGCCTTTATAAAAAAATAATGACATAATTGAGTAATAAAAGAGAATTACCTTCATTGTTGAACTAAATTTGATAACTATTAAAAGCGTTTTTAATAGTTAATAAACACATCTGAACGCAATTTTTCAAATTAAAAGCACTTTTAAACACTAGAGAAGCAATCTCAAGCAGGTGTTATGACACATTAAAATAAAGCACTTTTACTTATGTGACATAATACAATTCATTGATAGCATGTAGTATCGGAACATCATATGACACAATTAAATGTATAAATATTATTTAATTTTTTTAGTTCCGTATCATCTTATAATTGGTCAAGATTACATGATCCCGGACCATTTAGTAATTTCATTTTTATTACTATAGTTGAGCCTTTTAAAATATCTCATAATTTGTCACTGGATACAAAGTATTCCTTGATACAAAGTATTCATAATTTGTCACTGGATACAAAGTATTCCTTGATACAGAGTATTCCTTGAATGAATTGGAATGAAATGATAATAGAAGTGGAAATGGAATAAGAATGGAATGGAATGTAATGCTCAATCCTTTTGTTTGAAAGTGAAATGATTTTAATGGAATGACCATTCTCTAAGAATAGTAAGGAATGATGATTCCAACTTTAAAATTGACACCAAACGCAAGAATGGAAAAAAAACTATTCCATTCCATCACATCAAACTAGCATTGTGACCTCAAAACAGTTAGAACTCACAACCTCAAAATTGTTCGGTGAAAGTCAATACTATTAGGCTATCTCGTAAGGGTTATCTAATAATTTTCCCAAAGGCATAAATTGTGTTTGGTAAAACCTTGCAGGAAGGAAATTGTGTTGGATGAGATTATGAAAAATCGTGCTAGAATGGGTTTGCTTGAACTACATTCATAATCATACACTATATAACTTCTTCTTCTTTTTTTTTTTAAAAAAAAAAAAGAGTAGATCCATTTGGCCCATGGGATACATCCATTTTTGTCACAAATACATTAATCTTTTTTATTGGCAAAAAATACACACACTTGTGTTGCTCATTTGAGAACTCAAACATTTACCATCCACTTTGAAAGATAGATGAGATATCATTGGACCGCCCTTGGTTGGGCTTGCCCTTTAGCCCCTACCATTTGCTAGGCCTCATTTGCTACGCCTCTTTATTGAGTTCCGGTTCAAAATCAAAATGGGCTGATGTTTTTTAAGCCCAAAATAAAAAATCTCCAAGAAACGGGCCTTGTTTGAAACAAATAGTAATCACAGATCTCCAAGAAACGGGCCTTGTTTGAAACAATAGTAATCACAGATCTCCAAGAAACGTGCCTTTCAAAATTAACTAGTTTGAAACAAATAGTAATCACAGATCTCCTTTCAAAATAACTAGTTTGAAATAAATAGTAATTGTTTAGAGCATTTGCGTCGTGTATTGGAAATAAGGCCCGTCAATAGTCTTACTTGGGTCAATTTTTACCGCCCCGCGGGGCCCGCCCCATTTCGTCCTGTTAATAACGAATATGGAAACACTTTTTATACCGTTGGGGCGGACATGGATTCAAATTTTGTACCCGTATTGAGTCACGAGACTAGTAAGGGTTCAATATATATATCTAGTAAGGATTCAATATATATATCCTAAGGGCCCCGCCCCGCTAAGTATATATATATATATATATATTAATAACTTATTTTAGCGGCTTACCCAGTTACCCATCTCTTATAATCCTAATTTGGAATGTAAACTTGGTATTAAATTTACTTTTGTTTTGGTTATGGTAGAAGTTAGAGTTTATAACTTCTTGTGATTTGGTTGTATTAAACTTTTACGTTACTGATGAAATCAAGCCAATGTCCTTGTAGTCCTTCTAGTTGGATCGTCAGCCCAATCAAAAATCACAAAGCCACTGCGATGTCGAACTTAATTCTCAAGTTCCCTCTTTTTGAAGGTTCTCTGGAGATAGGCATCCCCTCCCCTTTAACAACAACTTCATATGTGGGACGAATGATAGAGTTCAACGGAATTGTCAGATACCGTCCATCAAGTGTTGTCACCTGTGCAGTGAAACCTGTCAGAGCTTCCACCGGAGAGATCTCCTGTGTGACGATGAGGACATTCCCGTCCCTCTTGAAGACACTGTGAGGCTTCTCATCAATAATGAAGATAAGGTCTGAGGGGATGACACCTCGCTGTTCATCTCCCTTCTCTGGAAAAGTTATTTTCGTTCCCTGCTTCCAACCTGGCTTGATCTCAATTGTAAGAATTTCCTCCACTGTGGTGGGTCTCCTGCACAAGAAAATAAATATTAGAAAGCAAAAGGTGATAAAGCATAAACAATTATAACTTTGGTCTAAACTATACCTACATTGCACACCGCGAATCTCTCGGTCACTCAGAATTTTTTTATTTAAAATAGTCAACCAAGTCAGAGTCACACAATAACTAATAAGAGCAAATAACTCTTTAAGATGTTATCTCAGTCCCACTAAAATGATTCAAAGATACCATCCGGAAAAGGGCAAAAAAAAAATATGATTCAAAGATATCCTAAGCTGAATATAACGCAAAAACTAGGACTATAATTTCGCCTCCCGTTACAGATTGTTGAGTATCAAAAACAAGATTGAAATAATAATATTGTACCATGTTTTGCCTTGCTTTCTAATAAATTTATCATTTTGTCCAATAACTATGCATCACATGAGCATAAAATCAAACAAATACTTTTCTTAATACTCAAAACATCTAAGCAAAAAGACAACACCCGTAGAATTACGTGAATGTGTCACAACATGCAGTATGACCCTGTATAATGTGGAGGCTCCCCACATATGCTTGGTCAACTCAAATTACCAACACAATGATCAATCCTAATGTACGACCATTAGGATGGAGCATTAAATCATTAATTAATATCTTCCTTGTAGAAAGGTACAAAGGAAAGGAAACATAAAGAGCAGTCAAAACTATAAATGCAAGCCCACGTAAAAACTGGCCAACTAATACATATGAATGTGAGAAATGACGAGACAACAAATACGGAATGATTTAAGATCAAACTCTACAGCTAACACATATTTATATTATAGACGCTAAATGATAAATAAAACCCTATAACCTTCAACTTGTGAATGATCATAGATAATAAATGAAACTACATATTTAATCTCAGTTCAATAAAAGTATTTTGTTAACAAATTTGAAACCTGCTGCCCTTTTAACAAGTCCTTAGGAACACAACTACATAGGCGTGTGTGTTATATTTAGAAAAATGATATAACGCATCCGACTGTTTTATGAGTAGGGATGTCATCATCATGACTTCTAACATCATCTCAACTCACATAAATGCAGTCGAATGTGTTGTATCACAACTCTTATATTTACCATAAAAAGTGCATGCCAAAGTTTTTGCAACAAGTGAAAACCCATAAAGAATACATTAATGCCATAAAGAATACATTAATGACAAATAAATGAACTTTGTTATAGATTCCTCAGTAAAAATGTGTTCTTCCACAATCGTAAATGTAGGGGGAAAAAAGTGGATGCTTTGCACGTGTCAAAGATAGTGACTTGACATGCTATATGTTACAGGTCATTGATAAAACTCATAACTTTGGCAATATATTAAATCAATAATATAGCTAAAAACAACACCCTATGCATCAATATAGGGTACATACATGAAATTTGGACGACGTTTCAGTAAATTTCCTCACAAGAAAGACAACATACAATTATTAAATACCATAAATAATAAGATAGATGAGGAACTTTAACGAGCGTGAGTCCAAAACACAAAAACAAACTGCATTCTCGGATGGAGCATTAAATCATTAATTAATATCTTCCTTTATACAACTATGTAGAAAGGTACAAAGAAAGGGAAACATAAAGAGCAGTCAAAACTATAAATGCAAGCCCACGTAAAAACCGGCCAACTAATACATATGAATGTGAGAAACAATGAGACAACAAATATGGAATGATTTAAGATCAAACTCTACAGCTGACGCAGATTTATATTATACACGCAAAATGATAGTAACTAAATAAAACCCTATAACCTTCAAGTTGTGAATGATCATCGATAATAAATGAAACTATATATTTAATCTCAATTCAATAAAAAGTATTTTGTTGACATATATGAAACCTGCCGCCCTTTTAACAAGTCCTTAGGATCACAATTACATAATCGTGTGTATTATATTTAGAAAAATGATATAACGCATCCGACTATTTTATGAGTGGGGATGCCATCATCATGACGTTTAACGACATAAATGCAGTTGAATGTGTTGTATCACAACTCTTATATTTACAATAAAAAGTCCATGCTGAAGTTTTTGCAAGCAAGTGAAAACCCATAAATAGTACATTAATGACAAATAAATGAACTTTGTTATAGATTCCTCAGTAAAAATGTGTTCTTCCACAATCTTAAATGCATGGGAAAAAGGTAGATGCTTTGCCAGTGTCAAAGATAGTGACTTGACATGCTATGTGTTACAGGTCATTGATAAAACTCATAGCTTTGGCAATATATTAAATCAATAATATAGCTAAAAACAACACCCTATGCAACGGGGTCCAATTCCACTTGAAACTCATTTAAACCTAATTAAAATCAATTAATGCAATAGAAACATAAATAGAGAAGATTGAAACTCCAAGAGCATATGAAGACTAAAACTGAAGCTTACCCAGTAGCATCAGTAACATCCCTCGATATATCTATCTTCTTAGTAGTCCCCTTGTACAAATCCTCCAAATTACACGGTAACGTCCTCTCTATGGATGCCCTTTTCCGGGGAATATTACTGGACGCCTCACCGCCTCCGCCCCGCCTCCTCCCCGAAGGGTAGCAAATATATCTTCGCCAAACATACCCCCGGGAAACCCCGCAGTACGTGATCCTCCAATGTGCCCCATCCCTCCGAATGGGCCCGGAAAACCGAAAATCTCAGAGAATATGTCGTCAGCACTCCGAGGATTGAACCTGAACATAGTAGGACCACCGCCATCCGAAGCGCCGGCATAGCCACCGGCACCAGGCGGCGGCACCTGTCCCTTCAACCCCTCTTCACCGTACTGGTCATAGACCGCTCGATTTTGTGGATCACTCAAAACCTAGAAAACATATATCATGTCACAATCTGTTAATTGAATAAAAAAAAACTAAAATTTAATTAGGGTTTTGGAGATGCATATACATTGCGCACATATATAGTTACAGTATATTATATGCATGCGTCATATGCTTCGGAGATTTGTTGAATTTGTTAATTGCATCAAAAATCAACAAAATTTTACTAAGTGCTTTGAAGATGTATATACGTGTGTGTGTGTACACACACACACACATACATACATCGTATGCTTCGGAGATTTGCTTGAATTTGGCCTCGGCTTCTTCCTTGTTGTTGGGGTTTTTATCTGGGTGCCACTTCATGGCGAGCTTTCGATACGCTTTCATCAAGTCATCTTCTTTGGCGCTACGGTCCACCTGAAGAACCATGTAGTAATCCACACCCATACTTTATCTCTCTCTCTACTCTCTTTCTCCCTGTATCTGAGATTTTTGGCTTTGGCTTTGGCTTTGGCTTTGGCTTTGGCTTGAGGTTTCTGTAATGAACTATGTTTCCTACTGGCAGTGTGATTAGTGAGATTGTAAGAATCTCTCTCTAGAGAAAAGATAGGAATGGGCCTAGATTTTTTTGGAGGCCTATAATTAGATGGAATTTTTGATAGATTTGGTAGCCCATTAGCCATTTAAGAAAAGTACGAGCCTAATACCTAGGACTGTCCATAAAGGGAAAGAAATCGTATGACTTCCCATTTTCTAGTACAAAATCGTAAGACTTTCCATTTTCTAGTACAAAACTGTCAACCCGTGATAATCCAAGGTCTATCACAGCGTCAATTGGCTAACTGTCCTGTGGGTACGGATAGTCCCTACTACTGCGATCTGTAGAAATTATAAATGGTTGGAGCATCATGTGGTAGGAGAAAAAAATTTAATTGTGTTAGTTGTACAAGTGACTAGCTCATTTGAAATTGTTCTTAGAATAAAGAAGATGTCAAAAAATTAAGGTAAGTAAAAATCATATTAAGGGTTTAATGACACATTATAATAAATACTTTTTATAATTAATTTATTTTTAAATTTATTTTGTAATAATATATTTATAATAAAAATTAAGAAAATGATATAATTAATCTTATGTGGCTATCATAAAATTCCAACTCAAACACAATTATTTTTGTAACTGACTATCCTAACATCTTCCAAACTCAGGAGGATTCTTTTCAAAACGTGACTATATATCCTAAAATCCAAACTCTTCTTTCCATCTTTTTTTTGCTTTTTTTTTTTTTTTTTTTTTTTTTTTCATATTTGTTTCGTTGCCATATGGCTTCTATAAGAAATTAATTTCTTCAATATTTAGAACATAAATTTCATTTGAAATTTTTGAATGTTAAAGAACCTAAGATTCTTATTTTATTGATTTGTTTGTGTTTTCTTCTCTGAAAGTTTTGTTTTATTGAAAATTTCTTTCGAAGTTACTGATTTATTAATTTTTTAGTTGTGACTTTCTTTAGCAGTTCGTTTTTGTTCATCTATTTTTAGAGAATTTTTGTTTTAGAAGGTATATTATATTTTGGTTTTAAATGACTCACTTTTACTATGCAACGTGAAGTCGATATTTTTTATTTGTCCGGCCAAATAGCACGACTTATATTTTTATTGCTAATTTTACAATAAGATCCTTTAATAGAATGTTAAAATATTTGATAATAACAGTTTTATTAAGGAATGACTAATGAGTGTTATTGTCTTTATAAAAAATAAGGACATAATTGACTAATGAAAGAGAATTACCTTCATTAAATTTGGTAACCATTAAAAGTGATTTTAATGGTTAATAAACATAATTTTTCAAAATAAGGAAACGACACTTAGCTAGAGTTAGCAGTTTTAAATAACAAAATAATCTTCATTTTTTACTTTGGTTGAATTAAGTAAAATAATTACATATGTATCAATAACTTTTGTTTAGGTCCAAAATGCCCTCCAAACACTTACTCCAAAATACTAAAAATTATTCTCCCAATACTTTCTTTAAATAATTTATTTACATGAAAAATTTAAGAAAATAAGATTTTTCCTTTAACTTATTACTGCAACTTTCATATATACACACACAAGAACTTATACAAATAATAAAAAAGATTTAATATAGTAAAAAAATGGGACAATCAAAGGTTAGTTCCCAAAAAGAAAAATATAATTACACGTAACGGATGCCATATTGGCATTTTTCTGTTGATTAGTTGTGATTTTTGCATCATGTCTGAAAACTCATCTTCTGTTAATATGTTGCCTTTACCTTCTGTTTTTTATTCTGTCACAAGCATGCAAATTGAGTGACACAAAACCCTTGAAATGGGTGAAGGAATTCGAAAATCAAGGAGGGCACCAATATATAAATCATCTTTGCTGTAGTGCATGCCTTAAGATAATCATCAATTTTTTGACTCAATTAATTACACTTGTTTTATAAAAAAAATAAAAAAATGATTGCTAGCGTATGTGTAGATATGTATTATATATATATATATATATATATATATATATATATTTCGATAAGTGGAAATTCATCATGTATATAAATATGTGTTGTTTTTTATTTTATTTATTTTGGTAATATATACACCATATGTAAAAATGCCAAATTGAAAACTTGAAAGTCAACTCAAAAATTTTGTTTTTCTAAATTTTATGAATGAAATAATTATTTGATTTAGGAATGACATTTTGGTATTTTGAAATAAGAGTTTGGAAGAAATTTTGGATATGTAATTATTTTACCTAACTTGACCAAATTGAAAAATTAACTTTAAAAATTAACCGATTTGTTATTTAAGACTCCTAAATCTATTTTAAGTGTAATTTTCCCATAAAAGTACTTTTAAGGACTAGAGAAACAATCTCAAACGGACTAGTGATAATTGACACGCAGTGTTAAGACACATCAAAATAATGAATAATGTATAAATATTATTTAATTTTTTTAGTTCCTTATCATCTTATAATTTGGTCAAGATTACATGATTGGGATCATTTAATAATTTCTATTTTTATATTATTGTTGAGCCTTTTAAAATATTTCATAATTTGTCACTGGACACAAAACTTTCCTTGAAATATTCTCTAAGTGTGACCCCAAAAGAATTAGAACTCCCAACCTCTAAAGTGTTAGGTGAAAGTCTATATTATTAGGCTATCTAGTTAGGGTTATCTAATAATTTTTCCAAAGGCTTATGCACCACTTGAAAATTTCTGGGTTTGTGTATTCATTCCACCGTCGTAGTATGTACTCCGCTTCTACTTCTAGGTCCACATTTCAAGGACCGAAGACCTTTGCATCTTCTGGCCACTCCATCGATCCGACCCCCCTGTAAGTTATGGAACATGAGAACAGAAAGGCGGGAAGGTCAGATGCTACCAAGGATGAGATTATAAAAAATCATCCTAGAATGGGTTTGCTCGAACTACTTTCAGAATCATACACTATATAACTATTTTTTTTTATTTTAAAAGTAGATCCATTTGGCTCAAGGGATACATTCATTTTTGTTACAAATATATCAATCTTTTCTATTGGAAAAAAATAAACACACTAATTTCGCCCATTTGAAAACTCGAACCTCTATCATCTATTTTGAAATATAAATGAGATATGACCACCGGACCGCCCTTGGTAGGGCTAGCCCTTTAGTCCCTACCATTTGCTATGCCTCTTTAGTGAGTTCCGGTTCAAAATCAAAGTGGGCTGACGTTTTTTAAGCCCAAAATCACAAATCTCCAAGAAACGGGCCTCTCAAAATTAACTAGTTTGCAATAAATAATAAGGCCTGTCGACAGTCTTACTTGGGTCATCAACAGTGATGAAATCAACCCTATGTCCTTGTAGTCATTATAGTTGGATAGTCAGCCCAATCAAAAATCACAAAGCAGTTGGGATATCGAACTTAATTCTCAAGTTCCCTCTTTTTGAAGGTTCTTTGGTGATAGGCATCCCCTTCCCTTTAACAACTTCTTCATATGTGGGACTAATGATAGAGTTTATTGGAATTGTCAGATTCCGTCCATCAAGGGTTGTCACCTGTGCAGTGTAACCTGTCAGAGCTTCCACCAGAGAGATCTTCTGTGTGACGATGAGGTCATTCCCGTCCCTCTTGAAGACACTGTGAGGCTTCTCATCAATAATGAAGATAAGGTCTGAGGGGATGACACCTCGCTGTTCATTTCCCTTCTCTGGAAATGTTATTTTTGTTCCCTTCTTCCAACCTGGCTTGATCTCAATTGTAAGAATTTCCTCCGCTGTGGTAGGTCTCCTGCACAAGAAAATAAGTATTAGAAAGCAAAAGACGATAAAGCACTAACAATTATAACTTTGGTCTAAATTATATCTACATTGCACACCAGGAATCTCTCGGTCACTCAGAATTTTTTTATTTAAAATAGTCAACCAAGTCAGAGTCACACAATAACTAATAAGAGCAAATAAATCTAAGATCCAAACATCTCAGTCTGACTACGGAAATATAAAAAAATAATAATGAGGAGTTAAAGAGCTTAAAATATAAATTTTCGGAAGGAAAAAGGTTTGCATGTTTTCTTCGGCACTTATCATATAAATCGAAACCCATAAGAGTCGGTACACTAAAAATACCTTCCTCTGTTCTACAACAGGGAACCAAATTAAATTGTTCACTAATGAAACTCACTATGAGCCATGGTTTGGTTTGGTCCAGTGATCAAACCTGAGTTGACAAGCAAGATAAAGCAGATACCATGTACGAGAGTAACTGCTTTGTGCTACAAAGTTGGAGGCTAGGTCTCGATTTTCCAGTTGCACCACCTCATCCCAAGCCGGTTGTATTTTCCAAGGAATGGGAGATCACTACTTGTTATAAAGGGGTGCACCGCATCTTAATGAAAATTAAACATTCCATTAGGCCACACATTTCAAGTGCATTTGATTGCCCCAAGGTGATTCCAGATAAAGTAATCCAATTATGCTGTTCCTAAAAGATTAGAAACTCTGCCTCAGATAACGCTCTCTCAAAACTGTAGGAGTGATTGGAAGAATCTCATAAGAAGGGGGAGAGTGGGGAAGGCTTTCTGTTGTCAAAGAACAAAGGTCCATCCTAGGGTTAACAAGATACTTATATGAGTTTTCAAGGACCACATTTCACCTCAACTATATTCTTAAGAAAAGAGGATAAAAAAGAAAGGCTAGCTAGTTTAATTTAGAAGACATTATCATCAGAACGTGATTTCTTTTAGACAGTTAAGGCTTTCTGTTGTCAAAGAACAAAGGTCCATCCTAGGGTTAACAAGATACTTAAATGAATTTTTAAGGACCACATTTCACCTCAACTATATTCTAAAGAAAAGAGGATAAAAAATAAAGGCTAACTAGTTTAATTTAGAAGACATTATCAACAGAACATGCTTTTTTCAGACGGTAAAGGCTTTCTGTTGTCAAAGAACAAAGATACCATCCAAGAAAGGAAAAAAAAAAACATGATTCAAAGATATCCTTAGCTGAATTTAAGGCAAAAACTAGGACTATATTTTCGCCTCCCATTACAGATTGTTGAGTATCAAAAACAAGATGACATAATAATATTGTACCATGTTTTGCCTTACTTTCTAATAAATTTATCATTTTGTCCAATAACTATGCATCACATGAGCATAAAATCAAACAAATACTTTTCTTAGTACTCAAAACATCTAAGAAAAAGACAACATCCGTAGAATTAAGTGAATGTGTCACAACAGTATGACCCTGTATGATGTGGAGGCTCCCCACATATGCTTGGTCAACTCAAATTACCAACACAATTATCAATCCTAATTTCTTCCCCCCAAATGAATAAATAGAAGTACGTGTAAGTGAACTTGTCTAGCTCCACAAAATATTTGGAAGACGTTTCAGTCAATTTCCTCACAAGAAAGACAACATACAATTATTAAGTACCATAAATAATAAGATAGATGAAGAACTTTGTCAAGTGTGAGGCCAAAACACAAAAACAAACTGCATTCTCGAATGGAGCATTAAATCATTAATTAATATCTTCCTTTATACAACTGTGTAGAAAGGTACAAAGGAAGGGAAACATAAAGAGCAGTCAAAACTATAAATGCAAGCCCATGTAAAAACCAGCCAACTAATACATATGAATGTGAGAAAAGAGACAACAAATACGGAATGATTTAAGATCAAACTCTAATGATTTAAGATCAAACTCTACAGCTGACACAGATTTATATTATAGACGTTAAATGATTGTAACTAAATAAAACCCTATAACCTTCAAGAGGATCATAGATAATAAATGAAACTATATATCTAACCTCAGTTCAATAAAAAGTATTTTGTTGAAAAATATGAAAACCTGCTGCCCTTTTAACAAGTCCTTAGGAACACAACTACATAGGCGTGTGTATTATATTTAGGAAAATGATATAACACATCCGACTGTTTTATGAGTGGGGATGCCATCATCCTGCTGCCCTTTTAACAAGTCCTTAGGAACACAACTACATAGGCGTGTGTATTATATTTAGGAAAATGATATAACGCATCCGACTGTTTTATGAGTGGGGATGCCATCATCATGACTTCTAACATCATCTACACTCACATAAATGCAGTCAAATGTGTTGTATCACAACTCTTATATTTACTATAAAAAGTCCATGCCGAAGTTTTTGCAAGCAAGTGAAAACCCATAAAGAGTAAATTAATGACAAATAAATGAACCGAGCTAGGGCTTTGAGCTTGCCGGAGACATTAGGCATGATTTAGCGAAGGATGGGCTCTATCATAAAGACAACCACAAAGGAGCAACAGTTCGCTCCGGAACCTTTAAACTGGCATCTGTCTGGGGAGCAAAAGAAGACAGGTAACATGAAACCAATCCGATCTACAAACTAAAACAGGAGGCCCGCTACTAATTAGACCATGACCTGTTTTGGTTTTGTTCCGTAAATCAGGCTCACTAGCCCAGCCCCAACTAACAATAGTTGCATCGATTGCAGGCCGGTTCATAGATCGATTGGCTAGGGGCAACAATTGCATCTGATATAAAAGAAAACCCATGACGTACTATTAGGAACACATTCCAGTTTGATCCTCCCGCGCTAGTTGCTGATTTGCAGTTCCAACCCTTGCTCCCTCCTTGCTTGACCCTTTGCCTAGGAGTTTGGTACTTTTAGGTGAATGGGCTTCTTCCTTCCGCTTTTCATCTCCCTCTGGGCTTTCTTCGTTGGCATGAATCTGTTGAACCGGGGTACCACCCAGCCCTGGGCCAATGCACATTTCTAGAATGTTCGGGGTCCTTGCGCCATTAGCTCTACAGAAGCGAGGTAATTTGAACGGCTCTAGTGCAGAATCCGAGTACAGGGCATACGTGATAAGGGCTTTTTGTTAGCCCAGAAGCCATCTTTAGCTTTGGCCGAAGTTAGCATTTTGAGGTTCGTTTCTTTCTCCCTTTGAGAAAAAGAAGAAGAATTAAGATAGCATTGCATACAAAGATGTTATAGATTTTTTTTTTTGATAAGTTAACTTTGTTATAGAACTTGACATGCTATATGTTATATGTTATTGATAAAACTCATAGCTTTGGCAATATATTAAATCAATAATATAGCTAAAAACAACACCCTATGCATCAATATGTTCCAATTAGGAGGGTCCAATTCCACTTGAAACTCATTTCAACCTAATTAAAATCAATTAATGCAATAGAAACATAAATAGAGAAGATTGAAACTCCAAGAGTATATGAAGACTAAAACTGAAGCTTACCCAGTAGCATCAGTAACATCCCTCGATATCTTCATCTTCTTAGTAGTCCCCTTATACAAATCCTCCAAACTACACGGCAACGTCCTCTCTATAGCTGCCCTTTTCCGGGGAATATTACTGGACGCCTCACCGCCTCCGCCCCGAGGCGTATCAAATATATCTTCGCCAAACATACCCCTGGTAAATCCCGACGGCGCAGCACGTGATCCTCCCATGTCCCCCGTCCCTCCTAATGGACCCCGAAACCGGAAAAACTCAGAGAATATGTCATCAGCACTCCGAGAATTGAACCTGAACATAGTAGGACCACCGCCATTCGAAGCGCCGGCATAGCCGCCGGCACCATGCGGCGGCACCCGTCCCTTCAACCCCTCTTCACCGTACTGCTCATAGACCGCTCGCTTCTGTGGATCACTCAAAACCTAGAAAACATACCTCATGTCACAATCTGTTAATTGAATTTATAAAAATAAAATAAATAAATAAAATAAAATTTAATTAGGGTTTTGGAGATGCATATACATTACGCACATATAGTTACAGTATATTATATGCATGCGTCATATGCTTCGGAGATTTGTTGAATTTGTTAATTGCATAAAAAATCGACAAAACTTTACTGAGTACTTTGAAGATGTATATACGTGTCTATATATATATATATATATATAAAAACATACATTGTATGCTTTGGAGATTTGCTTGAATTTGGCCTCGGCTTCTTTTTTGTTGTTGGGGTTTTTATCTGGGTGCCACTTCATGGCGAGCTTTCGATACGCTTTCTTCAAGTCATCTTCTTTGGCGCTCCGGTCCACCTGAAGAACCTTGTAGTAATCCACACCCATACTTCTCTACTTTCTCTCTCTACTATCTTTCTCCCTGTATCTGAGATTTTTGGCTTCGGCTTGAGGTTTCTGTAATGAACTATGTTTCCTGCTGGTAGTGTGATCGGTGAGATTGTGAGAATCTATCTCTATCTAAATAAAAGATGTGAATGGGCCTAAATTGTTTTGGAGGCCCATAATTAGATGGGATTTTTGATAGATTTGGGTAGCCCATTAGCTATTTAAGAAAAGTACGGACCTAATACCTGGGACTGTCCATAAAGAGAGAGAAATCGTAAGAGTTACAAAATCGCAAGACTTTCCATTTCCTAGTACAGAACTGTCAACTCGTGATAATCCATGGACTCACAGCGACGATTGGCTAACTATTGGCATAGTTTGACCAAATCTATGGCTATCACAGTCTCGATAACTATTGACCTAGTTTCACCAATTGGCTAATTTTTGGCATATATATATATATATTTTTTTTTTCAAGTAAGAGAGATCGGTAGAAATTATAAATGGTTGGCCCATGAGGTCCGAGAAAAAAATTTAACCGTGCTGATTGTATTAGTAACTAGTGCGTTTGAAGTTGTTGTAAGAATAAAAAAAAATACTTTTATTAATAGAGTTGTCAAAAAAATTAAAGTTATTAAAAATCATGTTAAGTATTTGACGACATATTATAATAATTATTTTTTATAATTAAATTATTTTTTAATTTATTTTGTAATAAAATTTTCTTAAATATTTTTATAGAAAATGATACTCTGTATAATTTATTTCCCCACACAAATCGATTCATATTAAAATCTGATGTAGCTATCAAAAAATTCCAACTCAAACATAATTGTTTCCTAAAATCTTTCAAACTCATAGAATTCTTACCATAATGTGAATATATATCCTACAATCCCAACTCATATACTATTCTTTCCGTCTCTTTTTCCTCTTTTTTTTCCATATTTGTTTCGTTTTCATGTTGGAATGCTTATATAAAATTTCTATAACAAATTAATTTCTACAATATTTAGTACATAAATTTCATTTGAAATTTATGAACATCAAAGAACCTAAAATTCTTATTTTATTGATTTGTTTGTGTTTTCTTCTCTAAAAGCTTTTGTTTTATTGAATATTTCTTTCGATGTTACTGATTTATTAATTTTTTAGTTGTTAATTTCTTTAACAGTGCATTTTTATTCATCTATTTTTAGATAATTTTTGTTTTGGAAGGCATATTATATTTTTACTATGCTTCATGAAGTGGATATTTTTTATTTGTCGGGTCAAATAGCACACAACTCATATTTTTATTGTTAATTTTATAATAAGATCCTTTAATAGAATACTACCATATTTGATAATAGCAGTTTTATTAAAGAATGATTGTTATTGTTTTTATAAAAAATAATACCTAAAATATAAACCTCAACCTCTATATAAACTTCATTACTGAACTAAATTTGTAATCATTAAAATTACTTTTAATGGTTAATAAACATATCTAAACATAATTTTTTAAAATAAAAATACTTTTAAGCACTAAAGAAGCAATCTCAAAAGGGCACGTTATATCAGCAACTGATTGACACACAGTGATAGCACCAACTGATTGACACATAGTGATAGGATAATAAAGTACTTTTACTTATATGACATGATATAATTCATTGATAACATGTAATACTAGTACCAGACACATCAGATGACCCGCAATTAAATGTATAAATATTATTTAATACTTTTAGTTCCGTATAATTGGTCGAGATTACATTATCCCGGACAATTTAATAAATTTTTTTTTTTTTTTTTATTGTCGTTGAGCCTTTTAAAATATCTCATAATTTGTCACTGGACACAAAATACTCCTTGAAAAATTCTGTAAGTACTAAGTGTGATTCCAAAAGAATTGGAACTCCCAACCTCTAACCTGTTTGGTGAAAGTCTATATTATTAGGCTATCTCTTCAGGGTTATCTAATAATTTTTCCAAAGGCTAATGCACCTCTTGAAATTGTGTACAGTAAAACCTTGCAAGAAAGAAATTATGTTGGATGAGATTATGAAAAATCATGCTAGAATGGGTTTGCTCGAACTAGTAACATTTGTTTTATAAAGAGTCGTCCAATTAACTCGATTTATAGCTTGTTTGCACGGTTCTTGATTTTTATTATTTTTATTATTATTATGACAAATTAAGATAACACACAATAAGATATCATGTAAATTTATGATAATAAATAACTTTTTTAAAAAAATTATTCTAATAAACACACGTACTTATAATAGAATAATTTGTTTATGTCCTCTTCCATAAAAAAATTTTAAAAAAAGAATTTTCTATATTTAAATAAAAAAAAACTTGTTTATTTTATTATTATATTATTCTCATAGTTATAAATCTTAAGAGAAGGTGTATTTATTTATTTTTTAATACTCACACACGCATGCTTTTATGGAGGTTCGAACCTCTGACCTTCCTTTGAAAAGTAAGAGGTTGGTACCGCTAGGTCACTGGTCCGTTGACCTTAAGAGAAGCTTTATCATCTCATGAAAATCCAAAATTAATAATAGTAAGGGATAATAATTTAATGATTTTGATTGTTAACGAGGATAGTAATGTGTTACTGTATACTGTATTTGAGAAGCATGTTGCAAAATTATATGAGGAACATAAAAAATGATAATATCATAAATTTATATCATAAATAAATAAATAAATAAATAATGAAACGTGTTTTAATGTTAATTAGGAACATACAACAAATAAATTTCAAGTAAAAGTGTACAGTTATATTAGCAAAATAATATATGCAAATCCTATATCCGCTAAGTTGGCTGACATATAAAGTTGATACAAATTTGAAAGCATAATATATTACTCTATTCACATGGAGGAGTTAAAGGTCCCATTAGCGAACTACTTCAATTAAAGTTAGCTCATATTCATAACATTTGAAGTGAATCTTAAAATCTAAGTTAATGCTCAATATTTAATTATGCAATCACATTGACATTTACACTATCATAATCAATTACTGTGTACCAAAATCATGTGGGCAAAAGTTGAACTTACACTCTGTTGGTTATATCATAAGAAGGTAAATCCTCTGTAGTTATGGTTAGTAATTGAGTGGGTTTGGATGGGTTTTGGGTTGATTATGAATGGATTAGTCAGTAATAGATTAATAACATTTTATCAATTCATTTATGGGGGTCATAAATAGGCTAATCAATTCACACCCACTCTGATTACCTGAATATTTTTAAATACAAATTGTCAAACTATTTTGATTTTTAAAAAAAAAATCTTGTAGCAGTTTTCATTAATTTTTTGGTTTCCAGCATTGCAAATTTTTTATTTTTTATTTATCTGAAAAGGTCACTTATATATATATATATATATATATATATATATAGAAAAAGGAGCTTTGACTGGGTAACATATGAAAATTTTACCCAAAAAAAAAAAAAAAAATTTCCTGTAACAGTTTTTCATTAATTTTTTGGTTTCCAACATTACAATTTACACACACATATATATAGAAAAAGGAGTTTTGTCATATGTATCTATGTTAATTCCCTCTTACATTGCTGAGGAAATTACTAGCAATTTTCGCCTGTTCTAGTGGTCTGGCAAAGACGAAGGCAATCCAATTAATTGGGTTAAATGGTCTGATTTATGCCGTTCTAAAAATCAAGGTGGGTTGGGTTTTAGATACTTGGAGGACTTCAATCTTGCCCTTTTGTCCAAGTTTGGTTGGAGAATGGAAATGGGTGACAGTTTGAATGATCAATCTCTATTTTTTACTGTTTTCAAACAAAAGTATTTCCGAAATCAGTCTTTTCTTAATTCATCATGTCCAGCCAATGCTTCTTGGGGCTAGCGAGGTATCTCGGCTACCAAAAACTTATTAAAGGAGGTATTGCTTGGAAGGTGGGCGACGGTGCTACTATCAACATTCGGGATGATAATTGGCTGCCGGATCCCTCCAAACATGTTATTTCTACTCCTTTTGTTCATCCATCTTTGCAAAAGGTTGAAGAGCTCATTGATCAAAACACTAGATCTTGGAACCGTGATTTGATCATTAGCACTTTAACTTAAAGGATTCTAACCTTATTTTTCAGATTCCTCTTGGGATGTCAGGTGGTTCGGATCATCGGTTCTGGTCCCCCTCATCTGATGGTCATTTTTCTGTTAAGTCAGCTTACAGATTAGCCCGATCTCTCCGTGAAGTTAACTGTTCCCACCTCTCCTCGTCCAGTCATTCTCAAGTGAAGTTTTCCTTGTGGAATGCCATTTAGAAAATTAAAGTTCCACGTAAATTTCTTTTTTTCCTTTGGCAATATTGTCATGAGAGGATACCTACCCTATCCAATCTTTATTTCCGTAAAGTGGTGGCAGATTCAACTTGTCCCAGGTGTGGTCTTTTTCAGGAGTTTGTTTCACACCTTATTTTCACTTGCCCTTTTTCTCGCTTAGTGTGGAAAGCCTCTCCTTTTCGAGTTGTTTTCCCATATTCAGAAAATAGGTCTTAGTCCCAAATTTGGTGTTCTCTTGTGACTAGTTGGAAACTTTGTCCCTTTTTCCATGATTTTTGTAGTTTGGGGAGTTCCATCTGTTGGCATATTTGGAAGGTTAGGAATGACCTTCATTTTAAGCATATTCAGCGTGTATTAATAAGAACAGCAATTAATGTCAATGTAAAAATCAACCTTCCACACACAGTGTATTAATTAACTGTAGGTTATTTCATGCTTTAAAATTAATACAAACATGCTTCCCAATCCTTTTAAAACTCTAGAATAGTTTTATAAACCATCCACGACCCCTAGAACAATTCAGAAACCCTCTTACAGGCCAACCCAAAAGTCAAAAACGTGAAAAATCAAAAAAATAAAAGAGGAGCCGCCTCCACCACAAGTGGAGCCGGCTCTACCCCTTGTAGAGGCGGCTCCACCCTTATGGTGAGCCGGCTCTACTCCCCTGTGACCCCCTGTGACCCGTTTGCGCGTAGTTTGATCATCTTCTTCGTCTCCGATGGAGTTCAGAGGCTCTGTACAATTTTTATAACTTATTATAGAGTTTAACTGATGTCCTAAAATTAATTAAAATCATGCATTCATTCCAAAA